ATATATATATGTGGTCTTTCTGTCTTTGAACGGCTGGTTTTTCTTGTTAAATCCACCACACCACAGATAAGCAGCGGGCCTCGCGCCTCCTGGGCGAGAGCGTTTAGTGGTTTCCATTGGCAACCGCACTCGCGCGCTCGCCAGAACAACAATTCGCCTCGAGCTGCCGGCTGTTCCGAGAAGAAGGAGGCAAAACCAGGATTCCTTTTACCCACATGTGGAGCTCACAGCGGTCAGTTTARTTTCTGCCTTCTACCGATAAGGTTCACAAAAAACGAAGTTTGTTACTTCTGTTGTTTGAACGGACTCGTGTTGAATTACAGAGGGCCCACAGGTTGTTTGTTACGGCACTACTTAGACATTCACATAAAGGAAATATACCAGAGTCTTTAACATAGTTAGAATGTTTTGTTTATTTTTTTTCAATGTTGCACAAAAAAGGCTGGAAACACAGAAGAAGAAAAAAAGAGTCTCCTTGTAAAGTAAAGATAGTTGGGAAACGGCCACACGGGGGCGCTACATACCTTAAACACAGGAAAATGCTTTGAACATTAAACAAAAACAATTCATTTGAGATTCATTTGTGAAAATATAACATTACACTTCTTGGTTTTATTAGATATGTGTACTTATCTTAATTTGACATGATTACATTCTCGATTTTTTAATAAAAATAAATAGTTCTTCTTCTATCTTTTACATCACCGCATTAAAGTGCCTGTGACTTCAAATTTTTGTCATAAATTTGARTTCATTTTTGGAAAGTCGACACTGATAACATAASGCAAAACAAATATCGCGCSGCTGAGATGAACAGTTGTTGAGGTATTTGCATGAAAAGCAACAGGAAGTGATGTCAAAGGGGAATGTCYGCATGTGAGCAGAGCGTTGATGAAACGTCTGACAAGACAGACTGTGGAGAAGAATCTGATGTTTCTTTAGATCGTTTTGAGTCATCATCAGAGAGATGAAGCAAAGTCAAATTTCAAACAATGTTTCAATAAATAAAGATCAAAGTGAGAGGGTTTTCTTTATTAAAGAGTTCCCCTTTGATGTCACTTCCTGTTTCATTTTGGCTGAGCTAAATCCAAAAGGAAATATGCTAGTTATATGTGACAAAATGGGTAAAAAYCATGTGTTTTATACCAAGTTTCTTAATGATTTCTTTGACTTTTTGTATTTGAAGGATTTGCATGTCACAGGCTCATTAAAACATTCAGGTTTTAAATGTTTTTCACACATTTTTCGAGATTTTCAGACAGAAGCATTGGAAAAATCAGCTTARTTTAGTTTTAGATATTAAAACATTTTTTTCTTATTTTGTTGTTGCTCCAGACAATTATTTCCTTTTGAATAGAMTTGACTCAATGTTACAGCAGAACATCTAGAAACCCACATAAACATGTSAGACATGTTTCCTTTGCATGTAAGCTGTAGGAAAGTAATTATTCAAATTACAAGTTAAAAATATATCAAAGAGATCCAAAATGTGTCGTGATTTAATGAGTCAAAGTTAGTATTTTTTGGAAATCTTGTTATCAACGTTGSCTGAAGACAGGGACTTTCCAGTTAGTTTTCAGCAAATTGCACAGGTCACCATGGGAAAACTTGTACATGTGGAAAAAGACCTGTTAAATCCAAACAATGTTCTCAGAATTAGAAGAAACGTCATTCAGTACTTTAGCAAGTATTTTTACTATGAACACACAATAAGTATGTCAGTGTCCCTACGTTTTGGAAATTTGTTGCATTGTTTAGCAGAACATGAGCGTATAGGTAAAAGAAAAAAAATGCTGTTAGTATTAATAATTCTACTTTTTACATTAGTTTTATTTCTAATCAGGGCTGTCAATGTTTTTACAGCCTGGACAGCTGACGAGCGTGAAACAGGAAGAAGGGCTGCTGTCTGATCATGACTGCGGTGGTTCGACCCGCGGTCAGTGTTTCACGGCTGTGCRCAGACGGAGACGCATTTCTTCGGGGTGACGACCTGGAGAGGGCCGCCGCCCTGTACATGTCTGCCTTCAGGACCCACGCCACCTCGGCTGTGTCCCACATGAGAAAACTGGACAACTACAGCTTGGGACAGGTGGTCTCTACCTTAGAAAGCTGGCTKAACAGTAATGGGGACAAGCAGCCCRACGAGAGTCTCAACAAAGGTCTTGCGGCTGTTTTTCTGTCCACGCTGTGCCCCAACAATTTGACCGCCACCATTTTCAAAATGGAATCTCTTCTTCAGAGCGGTGGGCGTAGCTGCGAGGAGATTTACGCTCGCTGTACGGCTCTGCTCGAAGGCAAGCGAGGCCCTCACCAAGAGGGCTCTACCCGTGTGCTGCTGGAGATCACTCGGGCCCTKGCCTGCTTGCTCTCAGAGCCTCATAGTTCTAAGGGACTGAGACTTTATCTTCAAACTTACCACAGGAACAAAAYAGAAACTGTCGCACTGGTGCAGAGCAGACAAGCTGCACACCTCACCAAAATAGTGAAGTCATTTGCAGAGCARATAATGCAAATACGTCCCTCTCTGGCATTTGACAAATGGGCAGTAACAACAAAGGAGGATGATAAACTAGATATAGAGGAATCTTCTGCAGTTATTGACTTCCTATCGGGTATCTCACCTGCTGACAGAGAGGTACAGGAACTTACTTAAAGCAGTGTGTTTGTTCTTATCAGGCCGGTTTTGGGACAGTGCAGAGGTGTACACGGCTCTCCTGCATCAGGAACAGAAAACCCCACAGAGTGCTACAAACACTTTGGGCACTCCTGAGAGAACAGCCAGGCTCCTAACCAGCCGGGCAGCCGCCTGCCTCTCAGCAGGAGGAAAATCCGCAGAGGAGTGCAGAGATCTGCAGGAAGCCTTTGAGATCCATCCTGCCACTGCCAGAATTCACTTCCAAAGGCTCTTCACCGATTTTGGCACGGGCCTGGCTGCTCGCAACCATCTTCGCCGGCAGGCAGAGAGGAGTTTGTCTGGTTTCAAGGAGAGAGTTCTCGGCCGTGCGGACCTGCGGACCACTGAGGGAGTTGAGCTCCTGGATCCCGCAATCTCTGCCTTACAGACTCTTTGCCATTTAGAGCCCGACGGAGGTGGCCGAGAGCTGCGGGTGCGACTGGCTGACTGTCTCCTCCTCAGAGGGGAGCATAAGGAGGCCCTCTCCATCTGTAGCCAGCTAGCTGCTGCCCACGGACAGCAGAGCTACCAAAACACAGTTCAGGTTCTTCGTGGCTTTGCACGACTTCTGTCTGGCGACCACGAGGGGGCATTAGAAGACTTTCAAGCTGTGATTGAACATGACACCCCTCACCCAGCCAGCTGTGTGCGGGCACTTTGCGGCAGGGGGCTGCTGCGAATGACGGGCGGTTTTAATTACCTCACGGCTCTCGACTATGTGACAGCCAGCGTGYTGCATCCTCAGGAGACGGCGCTGACTGTACACTGCCTGGTGCCGTGGAACTGTCGAGGGCTGCTGGTCACAGTCCTGCTGGAGCAGGGGCGAGTCATGCTGGAGGGGAGAGCAGAGCACAGATATAAATCTGGTTCAGGGGAAGACGCCAGGCATCCCAAACACGAGGGCCAGTTGCAGGCCCAGCTGAAGAGAGAAACCCACAGATCAGGGTATGATATTTTTCCCTTATACTGTACTTTAAATGTACAGGTTTTAACACATAATATCAGGAGAAGAAACAGTATTAGTGCTCATAATTATTAAATGTGAATAAACGCAGTGTCTACCCAGAATCATGCACTTCATTCAGGTCATTTAGTTCCGTTCATGGAAATTATTAGAAGTATTATTGAGCTTTTCTTTCCTCAACCCTTTCACCTTTTGTTTACATAAGGACTCCTGCTGGAGTCCAGTCCCTGGCCGCTCTGCTTATGGAGCTCCAGCCCGGTGCAGATGGGCCTCAGATCCTGGCAGCAGATGCCTTGTACCAGCTTGGCCGGGTGGAGGAGGCGTACAGGCTGCTATTGTCTGTGGGGACCCACAGTCCTCGGGCGCCTATTCTGGCTCGCCTCGCCCTCCTGCAGCTGCACAGAGGATTTCTCTACAACACTAATCAGGTACAGCTGTTTGAGGTGCTGGAATATTTAGAGTAATGATTTTACAAAAAAATATATATTTGATTACTGTGGTTTTTTTAGATTACTAATTTGTTGCAGCTATGTCACTCAGTTCTGTCATTTCCATTGCAATTTGGGTTTGTAAAACCCTCAAAAATCACTGACCAAAATTCAAGATTTGCTCTTATTATGGATAATTTATAAATAAAATGCACAGATGCTTTTCATGTCTTGCATTAAAGTGTATTATTTCCTGTAGGTAAAAGTCAAACTTTATTATCTTTATTTCCTGCATGCACAGCTGTTGTAGAAACATAGATCTAATGTGTGTGGTTTTCTCTGCAGCTGCTCAAAAWGCTAATCGTGTGTGGTGATACCAGCTGCCTGTGCAGCCTGTTGGCTGTGGCACAAGAGAAGGACCGAGCACTGCTGCAGGGACACTGCCACTCGGCTGCAAAACGCATCCTGGACGGCTCTAAAGAGGAGAGCTCTGTCAGGGAAGCCGTGGCCTATTTATCCATCGCCGTCATGGCCTCTGGTGATTAATATTTGATCAATGAGCTCTTCGTGTCACTGTTGGTCTTGCAGAGACATGAAATACAGTTAAACTGATGCTGTGATTGGATTTTTTTTTTTTTATTTGGAGGTGGTGACGCAGCAGATTCCCTCCTGGAGAGAGCGAGGTGTTACGTGCTGCTGGGTCAGCGAAAGACAGCCATATTTGATTTCAGTGCCATTTTGAAGGAGAAACCGAAACACATGCAGGCGCTCTGTGGAAGAGGATTTACACACCTCATGCTGAACCAGCAAAAGGTATTCTTTAGTGGAATCCTGTCAGCACCTACTGTTCCTCAGGAAACACCTACTTCAACCTAATCTCTACAACATTGTTTTGTGATGACTAACATGATGAAAATAAAACTTTAAAATGTAACAATAAAACATTTAATACTCCTGAAAGTGTAAAAGTAGAACATTTCAGAACATAAATATGAATAAATAAAAAAATTAACAGTATATTTCCAGAGCTGAACGCTGAATGCTTGTTTTAGTCTTTGCAAAAATCTTGACGTAATATTGTTTATAGTTGACAAGTGATTTGGAAACATGTTAAAGTAGAAATTTACAGAAACTCTGAGACATGAAATGCATTTAAGAGGCTAAATGATTTGTCTGTATAGCTAATTTTGGGTAGACTTTTTGTAATAATTTTWCAATATTAGCCTGTCTTTAATTGGTGAAACAACTGCTTCCAAATTTCCCTTAAAGTATCTCTTTTTACTATTTACTCAGGAGTGCATCCAGGATATCCTTACCGCGCTTCAGATTAAAGCTGACATCGTCGTCAAAGAAATCCTGTCCCTTAAGGACAGGGCACAGAAGCTCGTCTGTGACTGGCTACATCATTTCTGTCGCACAAACCTGTCAGATACTGTGATCACGAGTTTGGTTCCCTGCCACGAAGAGCAGCTCAGAGATGTTTTGATAATCGGTGGAGCTTTGCTGAGGACTGACAGCAGAGACCCGCGGTGGCATCTTCTTTATGTGGATATCCTCTTGGCTAAAGGTGGGATGAGATCGTAGCCAAACTTTGCAGTGAGGATTTTGGAGATCCGTGATGTTGCTAAAATCTGTACTGTACACAGACATGGATACATTTATTGGTACCCTTAAAGAAATTTGCATTATAGTCGTGTTTCACACTCAAGTGTCCATGTAGTTTCAAGGATTCAAGGATTTCTCAAACATGCACGAATGAGTCAAAGCAACACATCTGGGTAGGTTTTTGATGAGGGAATGACATTACAACATGATATAAAGCTAAAAAAAAGTCAGTTTTGCTTATTATCCCCCCTTAAATGTATAACGTCGTGGGACTTTAGCCACAGACCCAGGACATGGAYGCAAGAGGAAATGCAACCCCAAAAACACGCAGTGTGAATGATTAAAGAAGAGACAAGGAAACTGTCAAAAATGGTTTCAGTTTAACTTAAAGGTCCAGGCAACTTTTTRATCACACTATTTGTGACATTTTGATTCAGAATAAACCCTATGAGTGTAGACCCAGGAGGGCTCCACTATTGATAGAAAAACACGCAAAAAGCTGAACAACAATTCACCAAAATGCATGTTGATAAACTCCAAAGTTTATGTGAGCAGTTTCTGATTCTGATGAAACAAAACGGGTGCTTAGTAGCTACCATTAGTTGTCTTTTTTATATTATTGTGGAAGGGTACCAACAAGTTTATCTCTGGAGATGTTGATTTAGGTTGTGTGAAGTTGATAAAAAAGGACTATTGTATTTAAGTCATCCCTACTATGATCCTTTCTCTTTCTGTCTTGATCCATGTGCTCCAGGTGAATTTAAGGCCGCAGGCACTCATCTGTGCCAAGTATTTGGCCAAGAACCAAGAGATGCAGCGGCCCAGGCTAGACTGGGAGTAGTGGAGGCCTGGCAGCAGAACTACTGCAGCGCCTCTCGCAGGCTCAGTAAAGCGATCGAGAAAGATTCATCCAGCTTGGACTTTTTGCTGGCCCTGATCCCGCTTAATCAGCGAAAATGCACAGCCCAGGTAAGCTTGAGTGCGAGGATGCAGTACTGAATAGGTGCCATTGCCAAAGTTATCAGTGCTGGCTGAGACAAAATATACTTCATCTACATTTTGATAAGAAGACAAGGATTGTTTTATGTTTGAAGCATTTTTTATGGGGTGCCGTTTGTAAAGTTACACCGTCAAAAATTACCACCAATATTTTTGCTGTATTTAGCATTTTACAAGAAAAAAAGAACAGATTTATTTTTCATAGTCAGTTTTTCACCATATGATTCATACATTTATAAATGTCATAGTTTATAAACTAAATATTTAACTTACAAATTAAATATTTAGTTAACAAGCTAAATATTTCAGTTAAATAGTAAGGTAGCTAGCTAAATATTTAAGTCACAAGTTAAATATTTAGCTTGTTAACTAAATATTTAATTTGTAAGTTAAATATTTAGTTTATAAACTATGACATTTATAAATTTATGAATCATATGGTGAAAAACTGACTTTGAAAAATAAATCTGTTCTTTTTTTCTTATAAAAGGCTAAATAAAACAAAAATATTGGTGGTAATTTTTGACTGTGTAACTTTACGAACGGCACCCCATACATTTTTGTATTTAAGGACAGTGGGAACACAGTGAAACGTGAGCTGCTCTCACCTAAAGGAAAGTATTGATTTTTTATTTTTGCTGTTTTAACTTTCCACTGTAACAGGCAGCTGCACAGGAGGCCAGCAGAGTGTCGTCAGATGGCCAGTGGGATCAGGCTCTCACACTCCTAACTGTGGCAGTAAAAGCTRCGGGCGAGCACAAACTGCAGTATCTTCGTCAGCGGGCTGCCTGCTTTGCACAGCTGGGCTTACATGAGCAGGCCATAGCCGACCTTGACAGAGTTATCCAGCAACACGGGGACTCCAGCTGCTCAGACGACCCTAAAATCTGGGCAGAAGACCTGTGTCGGCGAGGTCGCAGCCTGGTGCTGTGTTCCAGAGAGGGAGCAGCTCTGGAGGACTTCAGCCAGGCCTTGAGTCTCCACAGGACACAGGCCGTCCAGTGCACAGAGGCTGGTCTGGGGCGGCTGCATCTGGCTGAGTGCTTTCTGCGAGGGGCGCTGCAGCACTATGGAGAGCAGCAACTGAGTAAAGCGTGGACGCTGATCGAATGTGGCCTCGCCGTGGACAGTGATAATGCAGATCTGCGCAGACTGAGGGCGAGAGTCAAACGAGAAGCAACCAGCCCTTGCAACATCAATTAGCAYTGGTCGCTAAAGAATCAAGAAATGGGACCTCGTGCAAAGCCAAWAAAGTGTAATCATGTCTGTAGGAGGAAAAATAAAACTGATTAAAATCTTCCAAAGTTTTATAAGATAAATCACGGTTCAGTCTACGCTTWGTATACAACAGTGTTTGYTAGCAATCAGTAACTTTATATTTATATAATTTGTAATATAGGATAGTAAACATACTCAACAGCACATTCAGTCAACTTTTTCAGTTTACAGATAAATTAAATACGAAAAACAAACAGAATCTATAAGTTTTGTATTATATGAGCTAAATCAACACTGCAACACTGAATATTTTTATCTCAAACTGTCACACCTTGATAAAATATTTAAGAAAGTGTCAAATGTGCAGGTTTTTTTCCTTTAAAATGCAAGAGGCATTTCTTTAATCACATTCATGGCAGCAAACAAACTTCAGAATCCTGGAATACAGAAACAACATAATTAAGTACTGGAATATAGTTTCTAAAATATAATGTCAGCGTGTTCATATTCCTGTACCTAAAGCAGTATTTATTCATTCAAGATTATGTTTTTACTGTTTGTCTAACTTATGCTTGCAACACGTTCTTTGGTATTAAGCCAACACAGTGATGTATTGTGGTTCCATATTGCCGAAGTAGGACTTCTCCCATTCACTCATCAGGTCAAARTGTAGTGGGCGGTCGCAGAAGGTGCAGGAAGCCGTGGCCGGGATGCTGAGTGGGAGACCGACCTCCTGCCACACCTCCACCAGTTTACCTGTGAACAAACCAGAGTGAATTAACAGTATTTTTCTTATTCTTTTTTTTTTTTTACTTCAATTCTGCTCATTTTTGGTCTGCACAATCAAGGAATATAGTGTTGCATCTGTGGAATGATAAGGATTTGTAAAAAAGTGGTGGTATTTTGTGTTGCATCATTAAAGTAATCAAGATAATCACAAGTTTCTCACTTAATTCACTTATATCGTTGGACTTTTTCAGACATTTACATGCAGAACTTTGACCTTGTTGCAGAAAGAAGATTCCCACACTCACCCACAAAGTACTCCATCATGTCGGGGTTGTGATGGGGAGACGGAGCCAGACGTAGCAGCTCCTCACCACGAGGCACCGTGGGGTAGTTAATGGCCTGGACGTAGATGTTGTGTCTCTCCAGCAGGATGTCACACACCTTACTGTTCAGCTCAGCGTTCCCAACCTGGAGCACAGAATAGGGAAGGTTAGTTTTTGGAGATTTTAAATGGAATTCCACAAGGCTCAATTTTAAGTCCCATTTTATTTGCTATCTTTATTAATACCAATTGAATGAAGGTGTTTGTAGCTAAAGGACACCATTATGCAGATGACGCCATATTTTATTCTCTTGGCTGTACCCTAACCCAGGTTGTTAAGGGCCTTCAAATTGCCAAAACAACTACTAAAGTCCTCTGTGACTAAAGAAGGCACTTGCTATTCTTATGCTGGAGTTGTGTTATTTTAGCTCTGACTTGTTTTTTTTTTTAATTTTGTATTTTCAAGTTTATTAAAAGTTTTAGGTTATAACTTTGTGTTCTCTTCATAGTTGTGTTTTTTTGTCATTTAGCTCTGACAAGATAACAAAACTCTACAGTTTGAGCTCCTACCCGTATGGGGATGATGTGGCTAGGGCAGTTGACCACAGGCAGGCCTTTGTCCATCAGCAGCTGCCTCATGTGTTTCACATTCCTCTGGTGGGCTCTGCGCAGCACCTGGCCTTCAGGACTCTTCAGGACCCGGACAGACTCCAGGGCCCCAGACAGGACCATTGGGGGTAGAGCTGTGGTGAAGATGAAGCCGGCTGCATAGGAGCGCACCGTGTCCACCAGGGCGGCGCTGCTGGCAATGTAGCCCCCCACACAACCGAAGGCCTTACCTGGAGCCACAAGAATGTGTTTAAACTGAGGTAATGTGATGTAATCAGTAACAAAAAGTACATCTACTTAAGTTTGCTGATGAAATTACATGGTACTAGATTTTATCTCTGCTCCTATAAAACAGGACTTGTGGGAAAACATTTTGCTGTTTAAGCTTTTCTCACTAAGTTTAGATTACAGTCTTTTTGAAATGTTGTTACTCCTGCTGTTGTTTGTTACCTTTGCTCATTGTTTGATTGCGCTGAAAAAAAAAACATTTTAAACTGATCAAAATTTTTTTTTAATATTTAGATGTCACTTACTCATTTTGGCATAAAATATAAGAATAAAGTAGTCAGTCATAGTAAATACAGGTTACTGGCTGTTTTTTTAAATTATTTTAAGCTAACACCTAACACTTTTATAATAAAATTTTAAATTCACTATTATTGCATGCTTTTACCCTTCAACTTATTTTATGATTTAGTTGTATAAAACATAAAAATTAACAACTACCTACATCTAAAATGTTCTACAAATAATAACTAGAATTTTTTTAATGCTAAAAGACATTGTCACAGATTTTGTTTAAATAGACAGCAGCTTTAGGAAGTCTTACTTTACAGGTTCAGCTGAAAAATACACCGTCATGCCTATTTTAAATAGCATTTTTCTCAGAATAATACAGCTTATATTCGTTTCCAGGGATTTTTATCTTAAACCTTGCAGTTGTCCTTAAGTTACACACAGCTCTGGAGTGCGTGAGAGTTTTATCAGCGAGGCCAGAAAGGGAGGAGAAGCGACACCCAGCTGATAAAACTTCTCCTCTCTGATGAAAGCTCATCCCTGTTCAGCAGATCGTRTGTGTAAACAGTTATTGCTGCTATTTTGGCTTTATGACAGCTTCAAGTAGAGCAAAAGTGGCTTTACTTGAGAGATAAAACAAGAAGTAAAAGCCAAATACTCTCTTACAGTTCGGAGCTGTTTGCCCTGCCCATCGTGAAAGGATGTTATGCAGCGTGACTAGTGTAAAAGCATGGGAATAGTTTTTTTTTTTTTTTATCAAAAAGGCATCAAGTATTTGAGAAACACAAAACAAACTCACCTAAGGTCCCAGAAACAATGTCAATCTTGTGCATGATGTTGTCTCTTTCACCCACACCRGCTCCATGGGCTCCGTACAGACCCACAGCATGAACTTCATCGACAAACGTCAGGGCTCCATAACGATGCGATACATCACACAGCTCTTCTAAAGGACATATGCCTCCTGTCACCCCCACAAGGAAGAACAGGATGATGTAATTAACACCGTATATAGGTGAACAGTATAAAGCTGCAAATACTGTATCACTTTGAAGCTGTTATATTAAAACCCATAATTGTTCTAAACTTACAAAAAAATCAACATAGTTCTTCCAAAAATGATTGTTCAAATTGTTATAGAAAATAAGATGTACAAAGGTCAAACAGGCCAAATTAATAGGGACATTATATCAATAAGGTCTGAAATTTTGACTCGTTACCTTTTTGTGGTGATTGAACAGAAATATTTCTGAATGATTTTTAATTCATCAGAAAAAACAAAACAAAAACAAAATCAAAACCCTCACCGTCCATTGAGTGCACGGTCTCAAATGCCACTATTTTCGGGGTCTTTGGGTCTGATTTTTGCAGCAGCTCCTCCAGGTGTCGACTGTCATTGTGGCGGAAAATGAAGCGTTTGGCTCCGCCGTTCCTGATGCCCTGAATCATCGACGCATGGTTCCCTGCATCCGAGTAGATCTCACAACCTGTTTCAGAGAGAACACTTCATGAAGCATAGAGATGTCTTCTTTCTATCAGGTTTGAGATCAAATACAATTGTTATCTTTTTTTTCCTGTGATTTATACAGTTTGGGAAAAATTTTCTAAGAAATGGGTGCAAAAAAAACTTTATTAATGCAGTTTCTAATAAAGTTCTGGGACAGGCATCACCTGAGTTAGCAACATGACTTGTTTTTGGTTGTGTTTACCGGGAAGCATTTTAGCCAGCGTGAAGAGGGTTGAGTCGTTCGCCACGAAGCAGGAGGAGAACACTAAAGCTGCGTCTTTCTGGTGTAGCTGCGCGAGCTCCTTCTCCAGAGACACATGATAGTTACTGGTACCAGAGATGTTCCTGGTGCCGCCTGCTCCTGCACCGTGCTTCTCCAGGGCATCACTAAAGATAAAATAAGTAAATCAGCATCTGGTCCAAGGAATCCATACCAAAACATACTTAAGTTATTTATTTGGGGGTCTAACTTTTGTGGTCAGGACTTGTTTTTTGATTTTATACATTACAATSGATAGTGCTGTCTAGTTGCGTTGTTTCACAGTTGTCACAGATGTTTTCAAATTGACCCAGTTACTTGTTACCACATGTTTCTCATCATTAATCAGCCTTGTTACATTTACTGTACCTACCAGTCACCCCTCCCTGCATATATACACCTTGGTTTCCTGTTTTGCCTTTTTGCTTCAGTTTAGTTATTGTCTTTCATTCTGTCCCTGCCTGTGTTTGGCTTCGCTTAACAACAATCCGACAGAAATTGCATTGAGGTCAGTAGTTTTGAGATGTGCTCAGTATGCCTACAGCTTCCCTTAAGCGCTATAGTGAAAATGCTAAGATACCATGGAAATATCATTGTAGCATATTGTTGATATTTAACATGTACCATGCTAAGTCTCTGTTTGCAGAATACTAGAATGCTAAAAATCATAGTTTACAAATATAAATTCAATACTATGTAAAAAAATAGATCACAATTTCCTATTTAGCAGATGACTTTACCAAGTCTATAATAATTCATTTTAGCTTTCTCACCAAATAGTTCAGTTAGGTTAAARAACTGAAACTACTTATTTGGGTTTAGGAAAATATGCTAATTGGAAACACACTTTTCAAGTATGCTGGTGTCTCGTGATAGGTCATACCACCAGTAAGAAACATTTGGCTCAGGTCTGATGACAGACTTGGACATGGTGGAAGTTCTTGTCTGACTCTACATTAATGGTTCACGTTAAAGAGCTGCCTTGTTCCAGGAAAAATAAACTTCCTGCCAAAGTTGACTGTTACTTCAAAACATGAAGTTCTTTTTGACAATTATCGTGGTTTAACAGCTGTGCGTTTAAATAACAACCCCAATGATTATTTTTGTACGTATAAACATTTTCGAGGCTTGCCTGATGGCACCGAGGACCCTCGGGTGGCGACTCATTCCCAGATAATCGTTGCTGCACCACACTGACACCTGGGAGCCCTCTCTTCCGGTGACGGAGTAATCCTCAGCGAAGGGGAAGGCCGTGGCGCTCCTGTTCACCGTCTTGAAGACTCTGTATGTGTGGTCCTTCTTCTTCTCAGCAATCTTCTCAATGAAGAATCGATCGTAGTCATAACTGGGGCCAACTGTAGTGAAGATCATGGTGGTTACAGAACTCTAAAGCACTGGGTGTTTTTTTAAATTAAATTCCTTTATATATACAGTATGTAGCATGGTCTGTGTGTTGAGAAACCGTACCCATGTTGTCCTTGAGGAGGTGGGTGACACCGTTGGTTTGAGCTGATTTTGGAAACACCGAATCTTTGAAACCCTTCAACAGAGATGTCATCAAACCTGGGAAGAGGTAACAAATTGCTGTTAGTGGAAAAATGTTGCTACTTATGGCGAATATTTTTCTCCCTGTGAGGGTTAGAGAAACGGTTAGGAGCTGGTAACAAATTTTTTGTACCATCTTGGACGTCCTCCTGTACTTCAGGACTGGCCTGGACCATCCCAATCTGAGAGGTGACAAAAGGGCAGCCCTTCGATGCAGAAACAGCCACCTGAGTGGCAGATTGAGCAAACAGCCTCTTCTGGTCCACCGTGGGAGGGTGGGGACTTTTGGTTTCGGCGGGCAGACAGGTCAGTTTGGCTTCCAGGGAGGCTGCGCCGCTCACGCTGATCTGACGAGCGATGATGGGACATTGGTCGGCCAGAGACAGCAGAGCAGCTCCTGATCTTCTTAAAGCTGGCTTTGGGAYGGACCTCAGAAAGGGGCAATGATGAAGGAAGGCAGCCATGGTCACAAAGCTGTTCTTACCCTGAGTAAAAACAGAAAATTGTTTAACCTGCTTCTGCAACTTATTTGTAAAAACTAGACCTTTTTAAGTATTGGACTTTGGCCATAGCTGTGTTTTTCTTTCAGGTAAAAAAAATCATTATTTAAAAAAATACTAAAATATCATCCTGTTAAGATGACAGGGTTTTGAAAGTTAATTGTAAACACAGCAATGGTTCAGTTTAGCTTCAGTGAGCTGAGGGTCTGTATTGGAGGGCGTGTCATGTGGCGGCAGCTTATCTTTACTCTGCAGGAGCTCAGGAGTCGTCCTGACAGACATCACCAGCTGATTACCGCAACAACCACCAAATATTCTTCAGAACATCAACTCTTATTTCCCTCATGGTGTTCAAACGTTGCATCTCCAACACAATTCTGCAATTCCATGACCCACCTGTCCTAAACAGTCACCAATCACTTTGTTTTTGCTGACCAGCGTCTTCGTGTTAGTTAATGAAACAAAAATTCACTATCTATTGTGGTCAGCCAATACAAAGCAATTCTTGAGATATGTGGCTTTTTCTTGTGGTTGAATGATTTTTTCATTTTTGTTTTTTTTTAAGCTCAGTCTCTTACGCCAACATCACTTTTTAAATGTTTTTAAAAAAGGTGGTTGCACAAAATGTACCTGATGACTGACAACTACACAAAGCGTATAAACATTCTCAAGATATTGAGTTGACATGAGAACAAATTAATAAATTCAATTTCCCTAAAAGTCAAAATACTGGTAGGAAATATGATAACAAGAGAGCAGCTCACCTGTTGACCTGCACTGAGGACGAACTTCAGAACAGCAGACAGAAAGTCAGAAGGTGTCAGCTCTTAATTGTTGGTAAGAATCATGCAACATCTGTGCCCCCACCCCTCTGACGTGACGTGTGGAGCACAGCCTGGGGGGCTGACGTGAAGGGAGCTGTTTGCGTCCATGTGGGAGGTGCAGAGATGGTGATTAGGGTCCATTTAAAGTTCCGAGAAGCTCTGCCCAGCAGCCTCATGTGTCTGACTTTAAATGATAATAAAGTAATGATGGGAGCTTTTTATGCCACCATCAGGAAAATGAAAGCCTGAAAATACTCATTCTCTATTTTACGTCAATGTCTTCTTACAATAATATTTAAATTTTGACAAAACTCAACATTTTTTTAATGTAACCAGATAATTGTTAAAATAATATAAAATTTTGACCTTTGTCCCACTTTAGTAAACAAAAATTTACTTTTAGGATTTTAGAAGCAACTTTTATTTATGAAAACAACTTTGGTGGAATGTGAAATGCATTTAATCAGAAACTGTGTAATTCACATTGACTTATTACATGGAAATAGTATCACTAAGTTTAATTATTTGCAATAGTTATAGGTATAAGTTTACGATTAATGTTGTTAATTATGGGGCGCCAATTGTAAAAGGTTAAAAAAAATATCACCAGCTCATTTTTATTATTTAGCTTGCTTTCTGAGTGTAAAATCCTAGTTGAAAAAATTTCCACTAACATTGTATTATTTAGCTCACTGTTATTAAATTGTGCAAAGTTTTACTAAATTTTAAATTTAAATGTTATATAACATACGTAAATATTAAATCTCAGTGTAACTCTATTGTTAAATTTTAAAACTTTATGATTTTTGGAATGGAATGCAGCCTTTGCTGTTGGTGCTCAGCTCTTGTTATGACATCATCATCGTGAGACAATATGCTCTGTTAACACTGCTAACCATCTCTACAAGACATCAACTTGCAGTTGCGGGCGGTGTGCGAGCTGCAGTTCAAACTGACAGACCACATGTACCATCCATGTTGTTTTCAAAGAACACATTTTGAATTTTGTGTTAAAATGTAACAGTCAGCAGTGTTTAGTAGTTGCTTTTGTCAAAGGACAATGAGGTCATATGCTGCTGAAGATTGAATTGATAAAAAAAAATCAAAATGTTCATTGAAAAAAACTGAGCTAAATTCTGAAAATGCCTTAGTGACATTTTTAACATTTCATTTAACACTTGGCATCCTATTGTTATTACTTTTTAATTATTTTATTTTTGCAATTTGTTGTCAAACAGAATCCACAATGAAATGTGTCAAATTGATCAGAATCTGAATTGTCAACTATTAGTTATGAACTTTATTCATTTCGTAAAACAAAATTCTATGTACAGTAAAAAAGAAAATACAAATAAAATGAAATGAAAGGTGGCAGAGAGAAGAAAATCTGYGCCTTTTTTCCTCAAATATAGATTCAAACTATAAGGATCTTTAGTTAACAAAAATAAAAAATCTCTTAATTAATGTTAATTGTGTGTAAGTTGTTCTGTGGCTTCTAAAAATAAAGTTTGTTTAGATTAAAATGTGTTAACTTCTTGTGAAACAAACATCCAGTAGCCTTTCTGACTGTAAATAAAAGCTGTCATATCTGAGGTTCACTCATCATTGACCAGCAGATGGCGCTTTCCTCTCCTCGACTCAGATCACCGGGTGTCGTGTGAAGGAGGAGTTTTTTTTTCCCTTTATTTTATTATTTCTTTGCTTCTATTGACGTGCAGACAGAGGGCAGCAGCAGAGTTCATCTCATCCTGCGTGGATCACACAGGACGAGCATCCTCCTCCTCCTCCTCTTCCTCCTCCTCCTCCTCCTCCTCATCCACAGTCCTCCCTCACAAGGACAGCATCTCCTGGAGGAGCGCGGCAGGAAACCTGACAACCTTTTCCTACAACATTAACATCATTGATATTAACAATTAAAACCACAGAATCCGACCAGAAGCAGCGAGATGTTGGCCTGCACGGAGCTGATCACCATGTGTCTCCAGTCCTCCAAACACGAACACTGGAGGAAGCAGCAAGAGCTGGACCACAACCAGAACCAAGGCATCGCTCTAATCCAGGATGTGAGTACGCGCCATGACGTCATAACCACAAACTAGTGCTTTTGATGAACCTGTCAGATATTATATTTTACTTAATTCTCTGCATAGATGAGGCGTATTCTACTGTTCTGTTCCGGGGTGTGTGTGTGTGTGTGTGTGTGTGTGTGTGTGTGTGTGTGTGGGGGGGGGTGTCCTTCACTCCCCTTATTATGAATGGGTCCATGAGTTAAAAACATTCATTGATGGACAAAAGCCTTATGTAAGAAATGTGATGGCTATAATACATGAAACAAAGAGGGTCTGACTTGCAGGGAGAAGTAAAATCCAGTGGAGTCGATTTGGTAGTTTGTGCAAGTGCAACCACTGCACAAAACATACAAATTTTATTTTTGAATGATTATTTTCATAATGACGTCTTTTCTTTATCTTCCAGCAGAGCTGCATTTTACACATTTGAATTGTTTCCTGTGGATTTTACTGCATGACACCACAAAAATGTTCTTGGTCTTCGCATTTGTTCACATTGTTTGCAGAAAACAGACCTGCTGTGATCAATTCTTTGTGTTTGGAGCGATTTTAAGTGTTGTTATGCTTTTGGTCAATTTAGAGGATGCACCATAGAAGCATAGTTTCCAGGCTTTGGACTTCCTGACAGCTGGCTATAAATCTAATTCAGTTTCCTCAAGGTAGATTATGGCCATCAAAAGGGAAACCATTCTTCGCTTTAAATGCATCCATTTCCCACAGCCCACAATGCACAACCTTTGCAYTTCTTCCCTGCCGCTATAAAAGCCAGAGGGTGATATTTTCTTTTTGTTTCACAGATTGAAAGTCTCACTTAAAGGGAACCTATCCGACTTCGCTGTCATGGTCTCCTTCCGTGCCCGCTCTAAAAATAATGCCATCGAGCCGCCCTGAATAGATTTCCAATATCAAATCATGCTGACACTCTCACTTGTGTTGGTAGTTATTCACTGGAAGCTGAGACTCATTTGTGTGTTTTTTTTACTCTCTGCACACTTCCCAGCCTGATAAGAAGATATCTGAAGTGTTTGTCTTAATTTTGTTCTTTTTTTTGAAATTACACTCATTTATTTTAACCAATTCACCGAGTAAATCCCCCACATCCTTGGGAAATTACTAAAAAAACGAGGAGGATTATAATGCTCCTCAGATTTGTCTTTCAGAGATGCTTTAAAAGCTCAGTAATTATCACAGAGTGCAATTTCTGTGTCCCGGAGGACCCTGTGTGATTAATTAGCGTCCCACAAGTTCAGAATTGGATTTTAAAAATTTACAGCTTCACTTCACCCACGTTGTTTCCTTGGATGGCAATTTCTGCAAGAACTCCATCAATGTTTTTCCCATAACGCCGCGCAAGCAGCTTGTCAATCTTCATCCCATGCTAATAGATTCTCATTCACCCAGGACGTGCTAAAGCTAAAATAAAATCAATTTACAAGCTCAAAAAGCAAAACAGCTGGATGTTATTTTGTAGTTCACAATGTTTCCCTTCTCATCCAGAGAGTTTCGTTAATTAAAAACAGAACTGGTGTTTTGAGCTTGTATGTAAATATTTCGAGGCGTCTTGGCCAGGATTGGGGTCTCAGAGCTTCTGCTGTGAGATTTGACAGTGATCGCACTTCCTGCCTGCATCCCACTGTCAGCTTGTCAGCTTGTTACCTCACAGATGGCTGAAGGCAGCACCTGCTCCTCTGCAAAGTTTAGTCCAAGTCTATCATATGGAGCAAGTTCCACTGCGTGAATTTTGCTGCTGCAGCGATTCACCATTACATTATTATATAAAGATGGAAAAAATGACGATGAAGTCAGTCAAACTGGTCTTCGACTTTTTTTTTTGCTGTATGATTTGTCTTTTGGCAACAGTCAGTAAAAGTGTAGAAAGCAGAACAAAACCATTAATGTACAGAAATAAACAAAAAAAAACATGAAAAAATGCTCTCAAAATTGTTTTAAAGTCTCTGCAGGCGTCTCCAACAATGTCTCAAACCCTCAAGTTTTATTAGAGCTGTCTTTAACCCATGTCAAGAGTTGCACATTAACATCTGAGCTCTCTTGCTCTTTATTGCTATTTGTTAAATATTTGCAATGGAAGAAGAACAAAATAAGATCTATTTAAAAAGGTTGGGATTTCAGGTTCAGAATTTGGTTTTAAAATGCCCATGAATGAGTTAAAAAGAAAGATTAAGACCAAACTCTTTTGAATCTTGCAACCATATTGACCACAAATAGTTGATTAAAAAAACATCAGATATTTTTAGGGTGTCACACAACTGTTGTTAAGAAAAAAAACTAAAGTAGATTTTTCTGATCAGTTTTGTGGCATTTTAATTTTGATGCCACTATATTTTACAGAAAAATCTTATATAATTCAGGGCTTGTGTCAAAAACTGTTTTTATTTTTATTTTGGATGGATTTATAAATCCATTCTTCTTTTGGTTCTCAGTGTCAGCATTATTTTTATTCATGGTACTTTTGAAGTTTGAAGCGGGGGGGAGGTTTAAAAACTGGAAGCAAACAGAACAAATTCAAGCCTTCTGACTCTGATGTGTTTGAAAACGAGCTGCTTTCATAGACTTGACGGCTCCACTTTGATGATACGATCAATAATCCAACCACTGGTCCACACCGAGTGATTGAGCYGCAAGAACAAAAATAAAAAAGCTAAAGATCCTCTTTGAACTACCATGTAAACAAACGTGTTTAGATTTGGAATGAATTCCTGGCCATGTTCACTGGCAGGATTAATGAAGTCGTGTTATTTCCTGTTTACGCAGGTTAATCACAAAAATTAAGAACTATCTTAAAGCAGCATCAACATTTTAAGTACCCCAGTAAGAAAAGATAACACGAGAGCTATCGGTTTAAAGCTTCCCTCAGGGAAGCATAAATGTGAATGTTTCATTTTCTGAAATGTCCCTATTATCATCAGGATGAGGATTTTACAGCTTCTCTTTAATGCTTCATTGTGCAGAAAGAAAGAGAAATATTCCTTTTTATCTGAGATGGATTAACATGTTTATTTTCTGTCTAAATTATTTGTCAAAATCTTGGCGTGTATTGAGTATACAGCCTGAATTCTCTACTTATTACACACTCTTGTAAGTTTATATGTCAGATCTAATAAACTTATTTTTTTTTCAGATTTTCCGCCGGGCAGACAAAAATGGTGAGTACACCAAAATACACAGCTCACTGTAGTAAACACTTAAATTTACTCAATGAAAGTCATTGTTAGGACCCGGATCAGCCAGGGGAAAAAAGATGGAACATTAATGGGGGCTCGTCCGGGATTTTAATATAATCCCAGAGAAGAAAAAAAAACATTTTTTTGCAAGCTAAACTTTTAATGACTCATTGGGGATTTCTGTGACCTTTTCCCTCATTGAATTTATTGGGAGAGACAAAGCACAGAAATACACAAGGTCAGGAGCAGCCACATGCTCTTTTGGGTTTTTGTGATGTGTCAGTCTTTGACAGGATGAACCCCTACAGCTCACCCTGCAGGCACTGCTCATCATGGTACACTGCCAGGAGCAAATCACTGCTCAGTGCAGTGGCAGGAGACAGGTGAAAAGATTTACAGAAATACATTTCTGGGCAGTGCAGTAACAGCACACACGAAAGTGTTTTTGCCATTTCAGTTGTCCTGGGTGCATTTTTAACCCCAAATAATCCACCCAGGTCGCAAATTACCATGTCAGTTTTTCTGTGCTTCATCTTCACCTCAAGGAAATTCTCCTAAATGCCCCCCCAGGAGAACACAATGTATTCAGCTCAGTGTGAAAAGCGCAATGTTTTCTGCCTAATTTCTTATTCATGCTCTGCACCCACATGGAATGGGGATGTAAAATGCAAAAAAGGGCAAGTGATTAATGCTTGTAGAGCATCTCCAATCTGCAAGCGCTTTCCTCTGGAGAATGCTGAATGTGTTGCATAAGAGCGAGATAAATGATGCAACATGTGCAGCAATGAGCAGGGGTCGTCTGGAGCTTCCTTTTTTTTTTAAACAGACACTCAGATGGAGAATATARTTTGTGAATTATAAATGAAAAAAATAGCAAAAAAGCTTTTTCCCTGCTGGAGCTTTTTGTTAAAAAAAAATCCGCATCAGATAAAAGGATCTCGTTTTTATTCGTTTTTTTTATCTTTTAGATTATTTTTGTAAGCTAGGATAGTGCAGTGATGCACAACTGAACCCTTTGAAGTGAAGCAAAAGAACATCTATTGAATCAGAGTGACCAGAGCATCACATGTTCATCAAACCCTCCTTCAGCTCCAACACAAGGCTTTTGTTTTTCACTGGTACTAGAATAAAGGAAAACCRAGGTAAAGACAAAAAAAGAGCAACTGCACTGTGTGTTTGTGCTTGTTATCTTAGGTTTGCAGCASAGTTTTGCATCCAAGAAACTGCCTCCTTCTGAACAGCAGCTATAGTGTGTAGGCTGCCGTAACACGCCTGGAGTACAATGCATTTATATTATAATGACGACCGGCTATAGCAAACCAATAAACCCCTCTAAGCTGCTGTAATGAGATTTTTAAAGTCAAAATTAACGTTAGAAGTGCACGGCTGCATAGAGTACACTCCAGGATTTCACTTAATGCTCCTTCTGCTTTTATCTTATGGTTCTCAGAGATCCACACAAAGATGGAACAAGATGAAAAGTGTGATAAAGTGATATTTTAATATCATTTGACAGTGTGACTCGGATTCGTCATGCAGACACAATAACAAGCATGTAAAATGCAGACAAGTCAGCAATATAGCTTTGAAGTTGAAGGACTCCAGAAAGCTTGAAGATTTTTGTAACAAAGCGAACTGAAAGTGAAGACTAAAAGTATCAAACAAGCAGAAATAAGATTTTTTAATTGCAACATGAAGTTTTGCCTGCAGCATAGATAGCATAAAAATTAAAAAATGACATCTTTACAGCAGAGATTTGTTTTAGACTTGTTATATCTCAGCGTAAGAAGTGATTTTAGTTTTTTTTGTTGTTGTTTTGTTTTATTAACTGTAAGGTTTCAGACACACTTTTTTACCTTTTTATTTTTCTTGCTGTATTTAATAAAAGCTGCTTTCCCCGCTGGGGGAGACAATTTCAGGCAACAGAAGAAATCTCCCAGGATGCAGTGATGTGCAGAAGTGCTGCAGCTCAAGATGGAGCCAATGATCGGCTTTAATTCATCTTAAATGCGAAAATGTTCAGACGACAGAATTACAGACATTTATTATTTCATACAGAGTTGTTTAATCTGCAGATTATCCATCAGTTAGTCAGCATTCTGCATTTGTTTGAACTGTCAGCTTAGTAAAACCTAATGAAGTATTGTAAATTATCATGAAAAAAGGCATATTTTAAATGTCAGTGAGGGGAAAGGTTGTATTGTTCACAAGCTTGTTACAGCAAAGCCAGAATTTCACATTGCTGCAGAGAAGCATTGATTCTTTCTCTCTCTGTCAGAGGGTGTGATTAATATAGTTTTACTGCAGCTAAACGCAAAGAGTTACTGCTTAAATCTGCTTTAGAGGAATTATAAATCCCAGCAAGATAACTTGTAACACTTTATGGATGGTTTTAATGGTGTTTTGTCTGTATTTGAAGGTCAAACTTAAATTTTTGTCATTTTATTTTTATTGTAAAACACGTAAATTAGATGCTGATATATTTTACGCTGCTTATGCTCAAAAAACAACCCTGGTGAAGGACTGCAGATTAATTTTACAATGACATTTCTAAATACTTTACTTTGTTGGAGCAGGATGTGCAGAAAGTGTTTTCATTTTTCATCATTAAAACAAAAAGTCAGCCAAAACAAAGCTGGAACTGTACACGGCCGTTTTGCTGCAGTTCATTTCTCTCTCCCTACGCCGCTGCGCTTCATGAATTATTAGTCCTGCCTCGATTACAGCTTTGAGGTTACCTACAGGGAGACTTCAGTTTGAGCCGCACTGTTATTCAAGCATAAGCTCTGTCTCAGCTGTTGAGATGAACAGTTTAAATTTCCCTAAAGAGGTGTCGTTTTGTCATCGCAGACTCAGGATTCTCGGCAGCAAAATCAGCGTATTTTTAATGGGGCTTCTTTTTTATTTTTTGTCTGACAGCTGAGACCTGATGACACTGACACATTTAACAAATCATGGATGGAGAAGGGAAAAAGATTGGATTAAAGCATAGACTTTTAAAATTGGTTTTATTTTATTTACCTGCAGGCAAATCCCTCTGAGATCACAGATCTCTTTATCGAGATATCTGGTCCATTATCTGCTCCCAAAATGAGCAGCTTTAAACTTCAGTTTCAATTTTTACAACTAGAAGTTGTGCAGAAACATCTTTTGTTGCCTTTTTACCAGGGGTGTCAAACTCACTTTCACCAAGGGCCACATGAACATTATGGTGGCCATCAAAAAAAAAAAAAAAACAACAACAACAACTTATAATAAACTTCATGGTTCGTGTTTCACTTAACTAAAACAGAAAACGTCATGTTCCTTGTGTCATTGCTACAGCTGAGCACCACTAACAAACTATAACTGGACTCTACGTGGTATTTTGTGCATAGAAACAGAGCTTTAACATGTTCTCTTACGAACACTGAAAAGTACTATATGTACAAATTACTACATGCGAAATAAATAATACAGAAATACTAGAAAAGTAAAAGTAAGAGAGTTTCACACAGTGTTGTTGAGTTGTGGTAAGTCGCTGCTATCTTGAATTCCGAACTCTCCCACTTTCTGACAGGGAATTCCCACTTCTGCGGCCTTCTAATTTAAATTTATAACAACTACAAACAGGCTGCAGCAAAAGTAGTTGGCAAAAATGAAATGAAAATTTTACACAGCAAATTATGCAGGCTACCAGTTACTGATTACTTTTGAAAGTCATTTCACAAGTAAAAAAATGTATTATAAAAGCTGTAGTTTATGGTCAATGTTGGCTTTAAAGCAGCACAAGCTCATTTATAAGACATTAACACATCTTTGAAGCTCTCGTGGCCCACAGGCCTTGAGTTTGACACACGTTTTATACAGAACATAATTTGCGAGTAGCTTTTTTAAACACAATTATCAAGTTTTTAAGTGTGAAAACAGGCTCATGTTTTGCTATTTTGTTCAATCAACAGCTGATGAGTAGCTAAAATATTTGTTTGTTGAACTAATTTAGAAAATTGCGCAATTGCTTTTTGACTAAACACGTTGAAATTTTTTTTTTAAGGTTTTTGTTAATTTTGGGTTGTAAACGAAGTACTATAGTCACTGTAATTTGGCTTTTACTTTGATTAGCCAACAAGCATTGTTATCACAATTAAAAGTTTTAAAAGTTGTTTCAGCTTTTTCTTCAGTTCGAACTGATTTCCTCAGAATTTGTTTTTACGTTTTAGGAATGGCAGAATCTAGTTCCTTACTTTGTGAGATAAGTTCTGCGTATTGCCTGATGCTTTTCCCCACTTCCTGCTGCAACCAAGAAACCATGAACGCTTGTGTAACGTGCCATCTGAGCTGCGCTGTATTTTGAGTCTAATGGAGTGTGAATCCAAACCAGARCAGCTCTGATGGAATCAGATGATGAGTCAGAGATGCACCAGATTGTGTTTACTCCTACATCATGTGGAACGAGATTTGACAGGGAAGTTTGAGAGAGAAATTACAATCCTGTGTCCTCAAAAACCTTCATGTTCTAGCTTTATTCCTCAGCTGAATCGTGTCCTGGCACATCCATCACTGGGAAGTTCTTAACGYGTCACAATGTATTTTACCAGCAGATGATGCAAGGAGCAGAGAAATGTGTCTCATAGAGTGTGAGAGCTCATTAAAAAGTTAGGTTGGTTGCTAAAGTAGTCCTTCGTAATAAGAAATAYTTCATTTATGCCTCTAAAGTCCAGCTAGTTTGTTATGTTGTTAGCCTTAATCTGTTATTTGACATAAAACGCAATTTCCTGTTAGGACAATAAAGCGTTTCTAGCTTTGGTGAGATGTAATTTTCCCCGGTTGGTCTCCTTTCAGAYGATGGGAAGCTGTCCATGGAGGAATTCCAGTCCCACTTCACTGATGGTGTCCTCACTGATGAGCAGATGCAGGAGCTCTATTACTCCATTGACCGGCAGCAGACAGAGTAAGCTCCTTGTGCTTTTAGGATATCCTCCAGATCTGCTGCCATCTGCAGCCCCTGCTGCTCCCTTGCCGCATGGCAGAAACATTTTAATACCTCCCTTTAAGGAAAAAYATCCACAGAGAGCCTTAATTTAAGCTCCAAGGCTTAAGTCAGTCGAAATAAATGCATCCCATTTACCAGTGGTGGGCAGCACTAATTTAAAAATTAGTTGCACTAACCCTAAAGCAATAACTCAAATATTTAAGTCCACTAATCCTAAAACACTAACTCAAATATTTAGGTCCACTAAC